TCTTACTAAGTAAATCACTCTTAGGCTTGTAACAAAAGTTGTAAAGCTCATAAAGATACATCTAATAATAGTAAAAACATTAAAATCGGCCTGGTAGTTCTTGAGAAATCTTTAAAAACTTCTTTCTCACATATAAAATTTTTTTAAAAAAATCATTTTTTTTAACAAAATTTTATATGTGAGAAAGAAGTTTTTAAAGATTTCTCAAGAACCACCAGGCCGATTTTAACATTCTTACTACCATTAGATGCATCTTAATGAGCTTTACAACTTTTGTTATAAGCCTAAGAGTGATTTACTTAGTAAAAAAAGGTTTTAGATAGAAGTACTGCATATTCAGGCTTATAATAAAATTTATATAAAAAAAAAATATTTGTTTAGGTGACTCGCAATTTGCCTATTAACTGAATTAGAAAATGATCTAATATTTAAAAAATTAACTTATTATTAATTAGTTTATAATATATAATAGTCATTAATATATAATTAGTAATTGGTCTATAAAATCAGTAGTAGTAGTATATAATAAACTTAAAAGCCAAGGCAATATTTAGAAAAAGAATTGTTTAGATGATTTACTCTGTAAAAATTATTTTTTATATCACTATTTGGTTTTAAGTAAAGCACTTGTATAATACAGTACGCCAGTTTGTAGTAATAGTAACTATATATATTTTTTATCACTTTTAATTATATAATATGACTTTCTAAATTACTAATTTTATTTTATATATACTTTTAACAATACTTGTAATGTATTACTAATCTAGTAAAAAAAAATACAATTCAAAATTTATTTGAATAGACTATTTTAATTAGAATACTATTTTCAATAGAATCACATAAGCTTTTCTGTATATTTTATTGTAATCTTGTATACAATTGCAATCACAAGTTAATCATATTGAGAGAAATATGTAAAAAATACTTTAATCATATTGTTATTCATTTTATTGATTTTAACAAAATCTAATTTTATACAATAGTTGTATATTACTACAATTAGCTAATTTATTAAATGTACTACTTGAGAATACTCTATACCTGGTTCTTCTTATCTCATATTTTATTAATAATTTAATCATTTTTATTGTATGAATTTTTTCTGATCTTATAGTTTTTATAATATTTTTAAATAAGTATAAATGCAAAAAATCTATTATTATAATATATAGATGAAAATGATTCTGATTTCATATGCTGCAAAATATGTATCTTGTTGGTATTTAACAGAAACCTTATCTATATACTCGTAAAGATAGAAATATATCAAATATGATAGCTCATCTGCATGACAAGCATAATATAATTAAGAATAATTATACTAAATTCTTAGATGAACATAACAAGGTACTAAACATATGGGGAGTCAGTAGAAATGGGATAAATTTTTTCTAAATAAAAGTTTTCTTAACTTTAAGTTCAAATATCTTGTCAATTGTCTTATTAAATTTAATAAATTTTTTTTTATTTTAATCTTAGATAATTCTAAGATTAAAATAAAAAAAAATTATCAAAATTGGTTAAGTAGTTGTCAAGAAATTGTAATTTAAAAATTAAAAAAATTTCACTAAAAATGATTTGTCCTATTTCTACTGACTCCCCCCTATATAGTATTATTTTTATTAAATTACCTTATATAATTTAAAAGTTTAATTATTAATTTTTGTTAGCTGAAATGTGATCAAATGAAAATTACAAATTATTACAAGACTGCAATATCATTATGTTCACCACAAAGACAGCAACTACTTGCAAGAAAATTAATTAAATTTATTATACAGTTTGTTCAACCTCTTTATATCTTACAAGATTAATTATTTCATGAGTTTGTTTATGCTTGTGATTTAGGATTTCAAATTTCATGTAATAAACTGCCAAGAAATTAATTTATAAAGAGTATAATTGGAGTTATGGTCAACTTAAATCTCTTCTTGATAATAGCATATCAATTATTCATTATCTACTAACCTGTAGATAGCAAAATCTGGTTATAGTTACTTAAGTATTACAGCTACTTGGTTGTTTTCTGATTTTAAATTTAAAAAAGCTTTGCTTTCATATGATCATTTTGAATATCTATATACTGGGAAGGTATTTTGTGAAAAACTACTAAGAATAATTTATGAATTTTGTTTAAAAACAACAGTTTTTATAGTAACTACCAACAATAGTTCTAACATAATTAAGTAAATCTAATTATTATATAAAAACTATATTAATAATATTAAATATTAGGCTATACCACACATATATTGTAATTATTAGTTCAATAAGAATTAAAGCAGTGTAAAGCAATTTATTGCTATATTAAAAATTTACAAACATATTTTTGATTGCCTAAAAATTCTCAACATTATATAAAGCACAGAATAAATTTAACCAACATGAAAATAGCTAATATACTATTAAAAGTTCTCTAGATATTATAACAGATATCAAAACAAGATAGAACTCTACCTATCTAGCATGGAAGCATGTATTAGAATTATATAATATAATAAGATTTGTTTCAACTTCATTACTTGCTAAATCTAATTATGCTTTGCAATAAGAAAGTAAAAAGTTAAAAAGATTATATTTGTTAATTGAAGAAAAAGAGTAAATTATTTTTTATTTTATTTTATTGTATCAATTCTTAAAATAGTATATATTAATTAGAGGTTTGCTAGTATTTTAATAAATTATAGTTATTTTTGTTTTGAAGTTTTTTAGAGTTTGTTTTGTATAAATGATTTATGAAAAGAGTTATTCTTTGTTCATATGATATCATATGATTTATATATAAATATCATATGATTTGGCTAATTAGAATTAGCAATTCTTTGTACTATTTAGAAAAAATATATAGCAATCTAAGAAAATTTAATTATATGTAAAGTTAATTTTTTTTAAAACAATGCATATTGTGCAACTTCAATATTATAAATAAACTGTTTAAATTTTATATTATATAAATTTTATACAAATTGGTTAAGATATTAAAAAGTTTTATTAGAAACATTTTTTATTTACTATATAAAAATCTAATATGCCACATAAATTATATAAAAAATGATCTATATACACTCTACCCTTAATTGTATAATCTACCTATAATTATCTGTAACAATTAGCCAATTAAATTATATAATTTTTAAAAATTTTTATTCTAATATTATTAAAAAGAAAATTTATTAGTTTACACATAGTGTATAAACACAGATCAGTATAGTTACAGTGTATAAACATGGATTGATATAATATTATATAATAAAAAAAATTAAAATTTGAAAATTATGATGTAATCTTTAATCTAAAATAAATATCTTTGATACAGCTAAAAACTAATCTCTTTTACACTTCACGCTTGTTTGATAAATGTTTAATCTAAAAACTAACCTCTTTATACTTCACGCTTGTTTAATAAATGTTTGATCTAAAACTAATTTCTCTCTTATACTTCGCGCTTGTTTGATAAATGTTTAATTATTTAAAATGAATGAACTTGAAGATCTTTTTCACGATAAGCAATACATATTTGCTTCAATTTCAATACCAGTTTCTGTGATTATTCTTCTTTATTTTTTATCCACGCCCTATCACAAATACTTATCTTCTAACAAGTAATTTTACTAGCTTTATGAACTGATTTCGGTGTTAAACTCTATGACTGAACTAAATTATGAAAATTCTATTTATGACGATCAAAATGTATTTGCTTCAACCTTAACACAAGCTCCTATAATTAGTTCTATTTGCAATGATCAAGATGTATCTGCTTCAACCTCAATACAAGCTCCCATAATTAATACTATTTGCAATGATCAAGATGTATCTGCTTCAACCTCAACACAAGCTTCCGTAATTAACCTTATTTGCGATGATCAAGATGTATCTACTTCAACCTCAACACAAGCTCCTGTAATTATTTGATTTTTTCGCTCTATT